GACCCGTCGGGCGGCATGGTACGCCTATCGGGGGACGGCTTCGGACGCGTCCGGTACGGGTGCAGCGCCGGAGAAGCGGGGGAGGTGGCGGTTGCCTTTGACTTTGCGAGGCCGCTGTCGACGACGTACACGACCCCCTCGATGGTGAGGGACGTCTCGGCGATGTTTGTCGCGAGAACCGCCTGTCGCGGGAGGCTGCGTGAGGAGGAGTGCAGACCGGCGTGTGAAGCAAGCGAGCCCTGGCAAGCGCCTTGCGAGTGTTCGGAGGAGCCGGAGCGAGCGCTTCCATCTGCGCCGCTGGCGAGAGGGCGGCGTAGAGCGGCAACGGGAGCAGCGTCGGCGACGTGGCCGGCAGCAGCCGCGCGCGCGCCTCGATGGCGGCGGCGGCGGCGGAGATGTCGTCCTCGCCAGTGAGAAAGACGAGGACGTCTCCGGTCGGCTCGAGCTGGTGGATCTGCAGCACCTAATCAATAGCTAATTAATAGTGAATTAATAGTCTCCGGCCGGCTCGAGCTGGTGGATCTGCAGCACCGTCGTCACCACCGCCTCGAGGTAGTCCTCGCACGGCTCCGCGGCGTGGAGCACCTGGCAGGCAGACGGGCGCGGCAACGCTCAAGTCACAGCGGCATCGCAGATCGCGGCCGGGCACGCTCTTTCTTTCAGCTCGGCATTCGGGGGGCTGCTCACCTCGACCGGGTGAGATCGCCCCAGGACCTGCACCGCGGGCGCGCCGTCAAAGAAGGCGCAAAAGGTGTCGACCTCGAGCGTCGCCGACATGACGACCAGTTTCAGCGGGCCTGCGCCGCCTCCGTTGGCCGATCGGCGCCGCGCCTGGGCCGACTTGAGCAGCGCCAGGACCACGTCAGAGGCGAGGGAGCGCTCGTGCGCCTCGTCAACGATGAGCGCAGAGTAGGCGGAGAGCAGCGGGTCGGAGGCGGCCTCGCGCAGGAGCATCCCGTCGGTCACAAATTTGATGGCTGTGCCGCCGCGCTTCGGAGGCCTCCGGTCAAAACTCTCGTCGAAGCGGACGGCGTAGCCGACGAGCGAGCCGACGGGACAGGCCTGCTCGGCGGCGACGCGGCGCGCGAGAGAGACGGCGGCGACGCGGCGCGGCTGCGTTATGCCCACTGCGCCGGCCTCGGTGTAGCCGGCGGCGTGCAGGAACTGCGGAACCTGCGTGCTCTTGCCCGAGCCCGTCTCGCCAGTGAGGATGAGCGTCTCTGCGGCGGCCACCTCACGGAGCAGAGCGCGCCGCGCCGACCAGATTGGGAGCTTCCGCCGTGTGGCGAGGAGATCCTCGCCAGTCGGCTCAGAGCGCGAACGTTTTGTCATCGTGGCTGTCCGGTGCGAAGTCCGGTGCGAAGGCGATGCGAAGGCGATGCGAAGGCGAAGCGAAGGCGAAGCACACGTCGATGACAAACGCGGAGTGGTGCCGTGCTGTCGAGTGCTGACGTCCGGGGATCCTTTCTTTCTTTTTTTTTGCCGCCGCCTTCCGAGCCTCACTTTCTTCACCTTCCTACCTAACCTAACCCGCCGTGTGCCATGTGCAAAAGGCAGTTGCCTTTGCGGTGTCGAGATGGTGCAGAGGAGCTGTGAATTCTTTTAGTGCCCTTGTCTTCAGACTTCACCTTTCTTTCTACCTAACCTAACCCTTGTAACGCATCTTGGCCTGTCCGAGGGTTTCCGGCAACCCAGAGGGAAACCAGAGGGTCCCCAGCACTTTGCGTTTCCGGAAGTTTCCAGGGAAACCAGAGGGTGTTTGGTGCTCCATTCTGTTTCTCTCGAGTTTCCCTCGGGAAACTCGCGAGTTTCCCTGTACCCTGAGTCTGAGAGCTGGTCTGGGGCAAAATCTGGGGCAAAATTGAGGAAATCGGCACGATACCCAGGTATTTTCCAGGTATACCGGGGTTTTCCAGGTATACCCGCAAAATACCCGGTATTTTGCCGATTTTGGCCCCAAAACAGCCTCAGACGCCACGGCTCAGAGCCCCCCCAAAATGACGAATTCCACGGAGTTTCCCCGGGGTTTCCCGAGGAAACTAGAGGGTGTTGTAGGGAAACGAGCAGGAAACACGGAAAGGAAACCAGGTAGGGTGCGAGAGGAAACCCTCGGACAGGCCAAAACGCATCAAGCCCTCACTCCGGCGTTCCCACTCCATGCTCCACCCGCGGGTCCGGCCCTACAGTACATCCGCCCCCCCCCGCAGGGCCCGCGCTCCATGGCCGCGTCACGAGGGAGCGCGATCGGTACAGCTTCGACTTGAGGATGAGCAGCTCTCCCTTGGCCCGCGCGACGCTCGCTAGCGACTCCTTCTCGCGCTTGAGCCCCTCCGACTCCTCCCGCACCGTCTCGAGCGCGCGCTGCGCGGCCGCGTTTCTCCGCGCCAGCTGAGGCAGGGGAGGGGAGTCCGAGGTCAGCACTCTGAGGGTCCGGGCAGCCGCCGTCCCCGTCTCGCGCACCTCGTCCGCGTGCCACTGCGTCGCCTCCGCCGCCGCCTCCACCTTTGCGCTCCTCGCCTCCAGCGCCTCCACCTGCGCGCGCAGCGCCGCCTGCGCCTCGCGCTCCCCGGCCAGCGCCGCCTCCCGATCGGCAGCCTGCGCCCGCGCTTCGGCCAGCGCCTCCCGCACGTCGCCAAGCCGGGCCTCGAGCGCGCGCCGGCCGTCAATCGCGTCGGCGACGGCGCCCTCGAGCTGCGCGTTCCGCGCCGCGACGGCCCCCGCCTCGCTCTCGACCGCATGCAACGCCGCCTCGACCGCCTCCCGCGCCGCCTGTGCCTCGCCGAGCTGCGATTCGAGGACGGCGGAGCGCCGCAGCGCCGTCGCGAGCTCGGCCGCCCGGCGCTCGCCCGCCGCCTGGAGGGAGGCCGCTGTGACCAGCCCGCCGCGGAGGTCGTCGACCAACGCCTGGTACGACTGCACCTGCTCGCGCAGGGACTCGGCGTCCGAGGCCAGCGCGGCCTTGTCGTCCGCCATCTGCACCAGCAGCGCCTGCAGCTTGCCCACCTGGCCCGACGGCGCCACGTGGTTATTCTTGGACGGCGCCAGGCGCAGCTTGCCCGCCTCCTCGCCAAACATCAGGGCGTCGAGGGCGTCGCGCCCCGCGGCGTCGCCGGGCTGCAAAGGCACCGTCACGAGCACCGCCACGACCGCCTGCCCGGCTAGGGACGGCTGCAGCAGCCGCGTGATTGCAGAGTTGCGAAAGTGCAGCACCGGCTTGTGGGCGGCGAGGGCGTGCACCACCGCCTTGAGCCAGTGCAGCGACTTGTTGATGGCGATTCCCTCGCTCACGCGCTGGCGCTCCCGGTTGAGCGTCGCCGCCTCGGAGCCGGCGAGGTCGACGAGAGTCAGCACTCCCGAGGAGAGGTCCGACAGGCTCTCGCGCGAGTCGCCCTCCCCTTGCACCTCCACGAGGCGTGCGGCCTCGACGCGCAGCCGCACGACGGTGTGGGCGCGGCTGGAGCACCCGTGCCGGTAGGTTTCGCCCTGGGTGCGCGCCCGCTTGCCACGCTCTATCTCCGCGACCAGCTGCTCCTTGCTGCGCACCTGCACCTCCTCCAAGCCATGAAAGTGGAGGGCGCCCCCCTTGCTGCCGGCGGGCGCCCCGGAACGCAGCACCACCGTGGCCCGGTCGTGGAGCAGGTCAAAGCATCGCTCCTCGAGGATCTCGAGCACGGCGAGGCTGATCGAGAAAGAGGTGGAGTCGTCGTGCCGCGCGAGGATCTCGTCAAAGAGGGTGTCGGCGGCGAGCGGCACCGCGCCGGGCTCGCTCCCATCGGCCGCGCCCATCATCGTGTGCGTCTTGCCCGAGCCCGTCGCCCCATACGCGAGCAGGGTGCAGTCGAAGCCGCGCAGCACGTCGGCGACCGCCACCCTGTGGGCGGCGTACACCTGCTCGTTGGTGGCGGCGGCGCCAAAGACGTTGGCAAACTGGAAGGCGTGCTGCCGGAACACACACCGGCTGCCCTCCACCACAATGCGCTCCCCGTCACCCCCACCCTCCTCCTCGTCCAACGCAGCGACTCGCGGCCGCAGGCGAATCGACACCTGCACGCGCGTCTCGCCCTCGGCCGGCGGCATGTCCGGCCAGCGTACGTCGGCGCACCTCCAAGCTGGACAGCGGTTTGACGGATGTTGTTACACACCGGGGGCGGGCGCGGACGGTTTTGCAGTTTTGCCATGCGTCAGCTTTCTTCTGACCTGGATACGTTCAACGCGACGTGCCCGCGCTGCGCGTCGGTCGCGACCTACGCGCCGGCGCTCGGCGCACCCAAGTCCAAGCTGGAGTTGATCGACTCCATGGTGAGGTTGTTGCCAACTAGCCCCGGAAAGCCTTGCATCAACACGAGGCAAAGGGCACCGACTGCGGGCCACGAGGCAAAGCCTTGGCCCCACGAAGGCCAGCCCATGTCCCAGACCATAGCTCCCGCGTTCCCGTCGGGCTCCAAAGCAGGCATAGCACAAGCCGCCGCCAGGCGCGCTTGCGAAACACCGACGGCAAACGTAAATTCGTAGGCGCCCGACGGAATTAATCCCGATTAGGCGCCCGCGACACACTGAATACCCCGGGCGGGCCTCCGCTCCGGGGCTGCTCTATCTCCATTGTCTGCACGCAACCATGGTTATGCCCTTCACACCCCCAGCCCTCGTGTCACCGTTGTCCAACACCTTTTGGGTGTCACACTGCACTTTCGCGAGGCGGTGCGGACTGCCGGTGCGGAGCGCGGAGCCCTCGGTCTCCCCTCTGCCCGTGCGACTTTCGCTAACTCCCTCGAGTGTAGACCGTCTCTCTTCGGCGCGCTTGAGCACGTTTGGCACCAATGACACCAAGAGGCAAGAGGCTTTGATTCTTACGACCCTCAGGCCTCACTCGCCAAGGCAGGTGTGAGAGAGATCAGATCTCTTCTTCAGGTGTGAGAGAGAGATTTGTGTGTTCAGGTGTGTGTGTGCACTCTCTGCTAGTACTTGTGTGGTTTGACTCAAACCACTACTGTGTCACTGTGGGGGGTGCCTGAGCATGATGTATGTGCGCGTCTGTGCGTGTGTGGGACAGACGTTGTTGTCCGACGCGGGACGAAGACTTGGAGACGTAGTGTGAAAAATAAACCTTGTCTCACACGCTGCCACGCTCCCGCCGCCGCCGCCGCGGATGGCTTCAACATCGAGCGGCCCAAGCCCCCGTCCGTGGTGGGAGAGTCACTCGACGATCCTGCCGGGCCGTCGCCGCAGCCGAGCGACGCGTCCGCGCCTGGCCTCGCCACCAGCACCGGTGCAAACTGCCGCCAGTCCAGCCGCCAGTCCGGCGGCGGCGCCCTCGGCCAACATTCGACGGCGGACGATCTGTGAGCTCGACGAGAGGATCGCGAAGCTCGAGTCCGAGCTGGCCGAGCTCGGCTCGGACGGCGCCTCTGGCGGCGACTCGGATGGCGACGGCCGGCTGCCTTCGCCGACGCAGCCGGCGGCTCCGCACCGCAAGCGCGGCCGCTCCGGAGTCAAGGGCGCTGACGACGAGGTGCCGGTGGAGGCTCCCGGCGTCGTCGGCCTGCGCTGCGAGATGTGCGGCGTGAGCGTCACCTCGCAGGCCCTCTCCCCTCCTCCCCTCCCTGGCCCTGCCCGGCCCTGCCACGGCTCTCACCCTCCGCCGCCCGCTCTCGTCGACAGGCGCTGCTGCGCGAGCACCTGCAGGGGAAGAAGCACGTGCAGGCGGCGCGGGCGGCGGCGGCGCGGGAGGAGGGCCGCTTCTGCGAGGTTTGCGACATCGCCTTCACCAGCGTGGCCCAGCTGACCGAGCACTGCAAGGGCAGGAAGCACCGCGACGCCGAGGGACGGCAACGAGGCGGCGGCGGGAGAGGTAGAGGCAGAGCTCCTGGCGGGGGCGGGGGGGCGCCGCCGCCGTGGGCGAGGGGGGGGGGAGGCTAGCCGCGGCGTCGGTGACTTTACACCTGCGCGGAAAGGTTTCTTCGAGTTTCTCTATCACGTTGATCGTGACTGCTTGTGGTTTGTGACGGGCATTGTGTCAGAAGCGTGCACGCGCTGGAAGGACACCTTCCTACTGGCCGTACGATCAGGTCGTCACTGAATGCCGAAGACTAAGGCCACGAGCTATGCAGGTGGTCAATTGTGCAGCAGGGCACGTTCAGCAGCGGCCGACAGGCTGTCGCAAGGCGTGATAGCATGGCCGCAAGTACGGCGAATTCCCATGAAAACAAGTAAAAAATCGCAAAAAAGGAAAAAGTCCCGAAAAAATCGGCGCCTGCGGCGGGCCATGGGACCCCCCCCGCATGGATACCCTCTAGAGCCCCCGCCTCCCCCCAGAGGCTGTCTCGTCTCACTGAGAGAGAGAGAGAGAGAGAGAGAGAGAGAGAGAGAGAGAGAGAGGAGAGAGAGAGAGAGAGAGCCTTCTCTCTCGTCTGTAAGGCCCATGGTAAGGCCGCGAAATTCTTCGCCGCTCTGCGGACGGCAGCGTGTACCACGCGCGCAACCTGCACTTCTTCTTTTACGGAGCTGATGGCCGAGCTGGTGTACGCCGGCGTCTTCAGAAACGGAAAGAAACAGACAACCCAAGGGGGGGATGGGAGGACGGCACGCCGCCACCACACAGGGATTTTAAGAAGAGGGGTGTGGTGCGCTATCCGTCTGAGACCTCTGTACGGACCGCGCGCAGCCCGAGACCTCAGCGCGCCGTCGAGAGCAGCTTGGCAGGCATTGGCCTGTCCGAGGTTTTCCGGGCAAACAAAAAGGCAACAAAAAACAGGCGCTCTCAAAAAGGAAAACAGAGGGTCCCGAGCACTTTGCGTTTCCGGAAATTTCCAGGGAAAACAGAGGGTGTTTGGTGCTCCATTCGGAGTTTCCCTGAGTCTGAGAGCTGGTCTGGGGCAAAATCTGAGGCAAAATTGAGGAAATCGGCAAACTACCCGGGTATTTTCCAGGAGCCCCAAAATGACGATTTTAACGGAGTTTTCCCGGGAAAACAGAAAGGAAAAAAGAGGTGCTGGTAGAGAAAAAGGAAAAGAAAAAAGGCGGGGTGCGAGAGGAAAAAGTCGGACAGCCCAAGGCAGGCATGGCCGACGAGACCGCGGCTGATCAGGCGCGCCCTGTGCTGGCAAATCGTGGATTGCTGTGAACAGGCCAGCAAACACGTCATTGCTGACAGCGCACACGATCCAGACGAGAGACGTGCGTGGCGCCCGCGTCACATCGCGCCACCGCATACTCCGCCACCCACCCGCGCCCGCCATCGCACCGTCACGCGCTCTCCCCTCACCGCTCCGCAGCCCTTCCACTCCTCCGCAAACATGGCCGCCGCTGTCGCTTCCCTGATCGGCCTCTCTGGCGCGTCGTCCACCGTGTACTTCGAGGACGACTTTACCAAGGGCATGGACAAGTGCGCGCGCCTGCTCACCTCGCGATTATTACCCCCCGCCGCTCTCGCCTCCCTCCCACCGCCTCCCCGCCCGCTCCCACTGGCCGCCTCCACTGCTTGCCTTTCGCACTCGCCTTGTCGCCGCCCAGCCGCATCGCATCGCATCGCATCACACCGGCTCACCGCGGCAGGTGGACGGTGGGCACGATGCCGGGCAAGGAGATGGGCAAGTGGGACGTCACGCCGGGCAAGTGGTTCGTCGACGAGGAGGCGAATAAGGGCCTCACCATCACCGAGGACATGCGGTGCGCGCGCCTCCCTCCGCCTCCGCCTCCCCGCCCTCCTCGTCTCGTGGCGGTCTCCCTCGCCACGCTCGCCCCCGCCTGCGCGCCGTCCGCGAGCCGCCTCCCGCCCCCTCCGCAGCTTCTACTCCATCACCGCGCCCCTCGACAAGCCCGCCTCGTCCAAGGGCAAGGACCTCGTGATTCAGTTTTCGGCCAAGATTGAGAACCACCAGTATGCCTTCTGCGGCGGCGGCTACATCAAGCTGCTGCCCGCGGGGACCAAGGCGGAAAGCTTCAACGGCGACGACGAGTACCAGATCATGTTCGGCCCCGACCTCTGCGGCTACGACGTGTCGCACGTCCACCTCATCTTCAACCACAAGGGCGAGAACCTGCTCAAGACGGACAAGATCTCGCTCGAGTACTCGGACAAGGCGTGACCCCCCCCCCCCCCCCCCCCGCCCCTCTCCCGCCTGCGCCCTCCCAGGCCCCGGCGGCTGCCACCTGTCCCTGCGCTGCCGCCTCCCCCCCGCTCTTCTCCCTCGCCCCGCCTCCGCCGCCGCCTCCGGACCCTACCCCTGGGGACCCTACCCCCTCGAGCCTGCCCTCACCCGCCACCGCCACCCGCCGCCGCCGCCGCACAGAACGAGTTCACCCACCTCTACACGGCGCACATCAAGCCGGACGGGACGTACGAGGTCTTCTTCGACCTCGAGTCCAAGGCCAAGGGCAAGATCGTCGAGGACTGGGGCTTCCCCAAGCCGGAGATCGACGATCCGGACGACAAGAAGCCGTCCGACTGGGTCGACGAGACAATGATGGACGACCCCGAGGACAAGAAGCCGGAGGGGTGCGGCACACCCCTACCCCCTTCTCCGCATCCCCCCTGCACGTCACCGCTCACCGCCCTCACCGCCCTCACCGCCCTCACCACCCCTCCTCCACGCACCCTCCCCCCTCGCCCCTCACGCCGCCCCGCCCGTCGCCGCGCCGCAGGTACGATGACATCCCGGCCCAGATCCCGGACCCGGACGCGACCAAGCCCGACGACTGGGACGACGAGGACGATGGCGAGTGGGAGGCGCCCATGGTGGACAACCCCGACTACAAGGGCGAGTGGTCGCCCAAGCGGATCGACAACCCGGCGTATAAGGGCGAGTGGAAGCCAAAGCAGATCAAAAACAAGGACTACGAGGAGGGCGTGCAGCTGGCGGCGTACGAGGGCGCGATGCTCGGCTTCGAGCTCTGGATCGTCAACAACGGCACTATCTTCGACAACATTCTGGTGACGGACGACATCGAGTACGCAAAGGCGCAGGGCGAGAAGCTGTGGAAGCCGACGCAGGAGGGGGAGAAGGAGGTCAAGGAGAAGTGGGACAAGGAGAACAAGCCGGACGAGCCGGAGGGGGGCGAGGAGGACGGCGAGGATTTTGACGAGGTGCTCGCGCGGCTGGCGCCCCCCCCGCTCGCCGCCCGTAGCACTGCCTCGCCCGCCCGCCCGTTGCCCTGCCCCCCTCACGGCTTCTGGCTCACGCCCGCTCCTCTCGCGCCAGGACGAGGAGCCGCCCGAGGAGGAGGAGGAGAAGGACGAGCTGTAGGGCGCGATGCCACTCTACGACTGAGGGGAGGATCGACTCTCGCGCTCGCCAGGCGCCCCCCTCCGTGCGGCCGGCCCGCTGGCAACGCAGAGCGCAGCAGCAGCGCACCGGCGCGGGGGGCTTTTGGGAGGGCGAGCGAGGAGTACTGTCGTGATGGGGTGCCGTCGTTGTTTGAGTAAGATGATATCGTGCGACGAGCGCGTGATGCCACCATTATTGATGTCGCAAACGACTCCCACCCTCACCCCACGTGCCACGAGCACGACACCCGGCACGAGCCACACGACCCGCGACCGACCGACGAGCGACCGACCGGCCCGCCGGCCCGCGGCCGTCGCGTCCACCAGCCTCCCCGCTCCCGGGCAGGGCGTAATTTTTTCTCCTGTGTGACCACAGGCGCGTTTCTCTTACTAAATAAATAAATAAACAAAGAGTCGTAGAAAATCCAAAATCCAAATCGCAAACATAGAAACCCAAACACACACAGCCAGGTGGCATAGGAGAGCAGGAGGTGAAAGGAGGTCAGCACGAGTTCCAAGGACGCACGAGCGAGAAGCAATAAAACGGACATCCCAAGGCCCAAGCTGCGTTTCTCTAAATAAATAGAGCAGTCATCTCCAGGAGAGATGGGCGACGCACGAACAACCTGTGTCACCCGGAATCCATACTGTCACTCGAAAACCATAAGATTTGTCAAATTTGCTGCAATTGCTGTCTTATTTGCTGAATATCTACTAGCATATGCCATAGTAATACTTGTGCACAAGAGTAGGACCCTGGCTGCACCCGCGCCAGGCTACGCTGGGGCCTGTCTCCTGAAAGAGCGCCCCTCGTGGGGCTGGGCAACGTGGCGTTCGCATGACTTGCACACATGCCGCGCACCGGTCGTCCTCGTCCTGGTATCTGCCCCCATCGGCGCCGCATCATCACAACATGTGCATGCACATGTGCATGTACATGTAGCATGTGCTGTGTGCCCTCTGCTCGTCCCGATAGCAAGGAGCCGCGCTGTCCGAGGCAAGGTGACTGTGTCCGTGACCGCCGGTAATGTAGAAGTATGGGAGCGTTTCAACAATATGTTTGAACAATGGCTGCCCCTTTCTCACACGAAAGGCATGCCGTTCTTGCGTTTGCCTAAGAGCTGCAACCCCCGCCGATGCTGTAACCCCCGCCGAAAAAGCGCATTCGGACCGCAGCGAGAGCTCGTCCGGCCGGCAAGGAAGAGCTCCGGCGCGAGCAAGCGTCATACGGCACACAATCACCATGCCCATGGGGCAGACGAGGCGCTCGGGGTCGCCATTGTAAGGCTGCCTATCTTATTACCCGGCCCGCGTCAACTTTATACTAACGGCGAGCCCTAGGGTAGCGGATGGTTTTGGCACAGCGCTTCTCATTGCTCTGGTAGATGGCGCAGGAGGCGCCGGCGGCGCCGGCGACAGAGGCGAAGGTGTCGAGAGGCGGAGATGTTGGCGGGCGAGAGTGGAGAGGAGGCGGGAGGCGACGGCAGCGGTGATGAAGGCGGTAATGGCGACGGCGGCGGAGGCGGTCTTAGGCGACGACGGTGGGCTGGCGGTTGTGGGGACGGTGTGTGTTGGTGGTGGCGACGACGGTAGCGGTTGAGATGGTGGCGACGGCGACATCGGCGTGGGCGACGGCGGTGGGGGCGACGGCGGTGGGGGCGACGGCGGCTGGGGCGACGGCAAGGGGGGGCGGCGGAGGTGGAGGTGGTGTTGCGGTGACGGTGCTTGGTGGTGGCCTGGCGGCGACAACGGTGCCGATGACAGTGACGATGGAGATGGCGGCGGTAGCGGCGGCGGCGGCGACGGCGGCAGTGGCGCCGGCGGCGGAGGTGGAGGCGACGGCGGCGGAGGCGACGGCGGCGGCGGCGAAGGCGGCAGAGGCGACGGCGGCGGAGGCGACGGCGGTGGTATTGTGGTGAAGGTGTGGCGGCGGTGACGGTGGCGTGGCGGTTGTGAGCTGGCTGAGACGATGCTCGCGGTGACAGTGACAGTGGCGCGACGGCGTCAATAGCGATGGCGGCGGTGGTGACGGCAGCAGGGGCGACGGCGGCGGGGGCAATGGTGGCGGGGGGCGGCGGCGGCGGCGGTGACGGTGGTGGCGGTACGCGGTGATGGGGCGTCGGTGGTGGCCTGGCGGTGGCCACGATGTCGGTCACAGTGACGATGGAGATAGCGGCGGTAGCGGCGGCGGCGGCGACGGCGGCAGTGGCGCCGACGCCGCAGCGGCAACGGCGGGGTGGCGGCGGCGGCGGCGGTGGAGGCGACGGCGGCAGAGGCGACGGCGGCGGAGGCGACGGCGGCGGAGGCGACGGCGGTGGTGTTGTGGTGAAGGTGTGGCGACGGTGACGGTGGCGTGGCGGTTGTGAGCTGGCTGAGACGACGCTCGCGGTGACAGTGACAGTGGCGCGACGGCGTCAACAGCGATGGCGGCGGTGGTGACGGCAGCAGGGGCGACGGCGGCGGGGGCAATGGTGGCGGGGGGCGGCGGCGGCGGCGGTGACGGTGGTGGCGGTACGCGGTGATGGGGCGTCGGTGGTGGCCTGGCGGTGGCCACGATGTCGGTCACAGTGACGATGGAGATAGCGGCGGTAGCGGCGGCGGCGGCGACGGCGGCAGTGGCGCCGACGCCGCAGCGGCAACGGCGGGGTGGCGGCGGCGGCGGAGGTGGAGGCGACGGCGGCAGAGGCGACGGCGGCGGAGGCGACGGCGGCGGAGGCGGCGGCGGTGGCGGTGAAGGTGCGGCGGCGGTAACCGTGTGGTGTGGCGGTTGTGAGCTGGCTGAGACGACGCTCGCGGTGACAGTGACAGTGGCGCGATGGCGTCAACAGCAATGGCGGCGGTGGTGACGGCAGCAGGGGCGACGGCGGCGGGGGCGATGGTGGCGCGGGGCAGCGGCGGCGGCGGTGACGGTGGTGGCGGTACGCGGTGATGGGGCGTCGGTGGTGGCCTGGCGGTGGCCACGATGTCGGTCACAGTGACGATGGAGATAGCGGCGGTAGCGGCGGCGGCGGCGACGGCGGCAGTGGCGCCGACGCCGCAGCGGCA